TCTCTCTCTCTCTCTCTCTCTCTCTCTCTCTCTCTCTCTCTCTCTCTCTCCAGCTGAGAGGCTACCGTGAGACGCGCTGTCAAAGTGACAAATCGTTGATGGTACACTATGTCTATGATCACGTCCCTTTGAAAACGGGAGTGTACACGGCAGACGTACAATACGCGGACAAGTATTTGTTATTTTGGTAATTCGGTTCCACGCTCCTTCCTCCCCTTTCCCGTGTTTTTTCGCTCGTTTTCACAGCCACCCACCGTCTGCTCTTTGACACCGAGTGGCTGGCGCGTAACGCGGGGTGCACGAGCACTGTGAAACACACCTGCGTACGTACCGTTTACCGTACGTCCCATGCCAACTACATATTATCCCCTCCCCACTCACCCTTATCAGCCACGAGCCTGGCAGCGCTGCGGAGTGGGGGTCACGCAGGAACGCACTTAGCCAATCAGACAACGGGTCTCGTCGGCCGCGACCAATCGGGATCGCTGAGATCGAACGTTCTACCCTGGAACACCTACGCGACCCTTTTCTACCACGTCGCATCGATTTCAACCCCCCTTCTACCCCGTGCGTAACGTTTGTTTATCGTTGTTACAATACCGCGTTCACGCGCAGCGGAATAGCATGGTCACCACCACCTCGACCCGTTTATACGGGATTCATGGAATGTAATATCGTTTCGCGGAGTTGACACGCACCCCTCCCCCCCCCCGATCCTTACTTGCTCGACCTCTTCGAAGAATTTTTGTTTGCACGCCTGACACCGCGTGTAGCTTCGAAATTTTCAAGAATTTTCTGAAATTGAAAATCTTAGAAATTGAGAAATTTAAAATTTTGCGAAATTTTATACATGCTCTGAATTGAAAATTTTGAGAAATTTTCACTTCGGAGGGTGAGATGTTGTTACACTTGATGAATAATGTACGTAACAATTAGCAAAGTATCTGAACGTGGCACGCAAAGTTTGTAGTTACGTTTGTCAAAAATTAAATAATCGTTGCTTTTATATAGAAAAGGCGATGTGAGGCTCGAGTGGGAATTTCGAAGATGCAAACGAAACATGAAGCATAATTTGAGAGTAGTAGTTCCTACAATTGCTCAACTAACATAGCCTTGAATACTAAATCTTGATGGGATTAAAAGTATTTATTCATTTCGAGATAGTATCTTCATTTTTTCGTAGATTTTTTTATCGAGGTACTTTAACAAATTTCAATACAATTTTCGTTCAATGCAATTACAACGAAACGACGAGTACAGTAAATCATTTTTAAACATGTAATAATAATTTAGAATCTTTTCAGTCGTGAGAGTTTCTTTTCTTCTTTGTTATTTCGTACTCTCTTATTATTCACGCGTTTTTTTCTTTTTTTTTTTAATAGGACAATAATATTGTTCAATCACATCAGCTGTTACAACAATAACAGAAGTGGGAGAAACGGAATTTGTTTAGAAATGGAAGTAATAGATGACAAATTGTGAGAAGATATCGGCGCTATTTGTGAAGATAGCAACATTTGAAAGTCTACGACTGATACAAACCTGCAATTCCCGCGGAAAAACTTCATACTCTATATAACCTGAAAAAAGGTATTGATATACGCGCGTACGCGATCAAGGCGTACGCAATGTGCAAGCAATAGATCTGACGTGCTTGTTTCTAAGATGGGGTTAGCTGAATAATTATCGAGAAATGCGAATGCCAATTGCTTCATCGGTCGGACGAACGGAAACAGCGAGATACCGAGTAAACAGATGAAAATGTACTTGACGGAGTTTTGAAGGAATTTTCGAACAGTATGGAGGATTTAAAATACAAATTTTTTGGCTTGATCAATAAACAGGTAAACGAATTTATATTAAAATTTTGCGCTTAAGTATCATACGTTGCAATGCGACAGTGCGAAGTGCAACTTGACCTCTGGTTTTTCCTCTTGTGATTTAGGTTATGTTGTACTTTAAATTTGAATTTGATTTCTCTGTTGCATGAACCACTTCTGTTTAAGATCATTGAAAAATTGTACGGATGATGTAGTACGTTTATATTTTCTATTGTTATTGCAGAATGCAACGAAAATCCCATTGATGGGTTTGCATCCGGATTTACTTAATCCATTAGAATCTCAGAAATCGGATGACGTACAATCAGAGGCCGATCAATCAACAGAAAGCGAACCTATCCCTGATCAAGATATATTGGAATCTATAGAAGGGATTTATTTCAAGACAGATCATACTTTTGATGCTGGTAGACATGAGTTAGAGAAACTGCCGAAGATATTGCAATCTAAGGAGATTGAGAAATGCTACAAGAAACTAAAGCAGCAGCATCAGGTCGTTTCGAAGAAAGTGCTGCAACTTATCTTGCAAAAGCAGAACGCTTGCAACGTAGAGTTCGACAAGATTTTATTGATACAAGAAGAGTTGCAAGACATGTTAGAGATATGCAGAATGGGAAGAGCAGATTTGAAACTGGCTGAAAGGCAATTTACCACAGCTAGTTTGGGAATATTGGCGAATTATAAGAAAAGACAGATCATAGAAGAATTATTGAATAACTTGAATACTATAAAAACATTGGTAAGCTTCTTTGTTTTGACTTAAAGTTTATTTGTTATGATGGAACAGTTGTAAATTAATTATTATAATGCCTTGTAGCAACGTACGGGAGACAGGTTACAAGAGTTGTTGAACGAAAAGAATTATCCCAGAGCAATTTCGTTACTCTTAGAATGTCAGAGTGCTGCACAAACGTATAAACACTTTCATTGTATTGCGGCTTTAAATGGAAAATTGCAAGATATTTTGGAACAAGCAGAGGAAGCCCTGGACGTTACATTGTCAAAGATGTGCACACAATTTGACGTAACAACGTACACATCCATTCAAGAAGCTTACACTCTACTAGGAAAAACTCAGTCCGCGATGGATCAATTACATATGCATTTTACTGCTGCGATTCACAACACTGCTTTTGCAGCCGTTCATTCGTACGCGGGTGGAGATACGAAAAGACAATATAAACAACTTTGTCAGTCAGTGCCCCGTGAAAATTGCGTTGCTTGTCTAACAGAATTGTGTAAATCGTTGTGGACAATATTAAGCTCTTATTATTTGGTAGTAAACTGGCATAACACGCAAGAAAGCAAAGTTAAGTTCAAAGCCGATATGAAAGATCTAGAGGAAACTTTTAGCAAGCAATATGTAAAGCATAAATTAGAGAATAGTATGATTCGTGTATGGCACGATGTTGAAATGAAGATATCCATATTTTTAATGAATGCTGATCTAACTTATATTAAATTCGAACAGTTCGTTCAAGTTTTAGGTACAGTTAACAGGTAAATGACAAAAAATTAATAAATTAAATTAATTTACGTACATCACGTTAACAAAGAATAATTACAGATTAATGGAAATTGGAGAAGAGTTGTGTGGCTTTAAGTCAGAAAATCTACAAGAATCTATAAGGAAACAATCGTTGTCCTATTTCTCTCATTATCACGTGTCAAGGTTAGACGAACTTAGAATATTTTTGGAAAACGATGGGTGGGAATTGTGTCCCGTTAAATCTAACTTCGTGGCAACTCAATTGCAAGAATTTAAGAGTTTAAAACCATCGCTGAACAATTGCAAAGTGTGGAATTTTGATAACTCTAACGCCGGTGAAAATGATAGCCCCATAAGTATAGAATGGATTCAAAAGTATTTAGAGGGGAGTGCATCTCCATTCTCTATAGGTTTAGACGACACTATGGACGAAGATATTTTGATAAGTAATGAAGTACGATTATTTGATTTAGAAATAACTTATCGTCCTTACACTAGCTGACAATACAATATAAAAGATAATCTATATTACATTATACAGGACAATCCTCCAGCTTATTTTTCTGATGAATCGGACGACGACATTCCTGATGAATTAAAACACGAGTATGTCGACGATTCGGATCATATCAAGACAAATAAAAAGAAATGTAAATTAAAGCAATCAGGGCCCATGGTTACAAACACAACGCTAAGTATATTGCGTGTTTGTGGAAAGTATCTGCAGATGTCTAGATTATTACGATCAATCGCGGTTACTGTTATACAAAGTATGATACAGTTTTACGAGTTATGTTTTTATACTGTACATTTGTTTTTCACATCAGATTTGGTGAGTTTCGTTTACCTCAGAGTTGATAAGTGAATTTAATAAATAATAATAATATTTACTTTTTTACAGCAAATAAACAGCGATTCCTTATACAGTCCAAAACTGAAACTATCTCTGGCAAGAATCAAGGAGAACTTGATCATGTGTGAGAATGATACAGAAGATAATATTAAGTTAAATTCGGATAAAGTACGACAGCCACAGCTCTCTTCCATTGTAAATTTATCGCAGCCGGAAAAGCTTTATGGTTTAACCGAACGTATCGTAGGAGTGGAATCTTTGATATTTTTAGGTCGGCAATACGAAAATTTAAAGCCGTACTTGGAACATCTCATCGGCGCCAGCCCACAACGCGGTTTTCTTCATCAATTTTATATGCAAACGATAGCATCGACCGTAGACTTGAGGAAACCGGTATACATGGCGGTTGCGTCGCAAGCGTTCGACGTTGCAAATATATTAAATTTAATGAACAAAGTTAATTGGGAAGTGACGGATGTCATGTCTCAACATAGTGGATATATCGATGCATTGCTTCAAGTATGTATCTTAAAAGTAAGAAATAAAAATTTTTACCTTACTCGTGTACACTGAAGAAAATTTTTTTTTTTTTTATATGGAATATATAGGAAATATACGTTTTAAACGAAAGATTGAAGAACATTGGAAGTTGTCTCTCTTTAGCAGACGATGTATATAACGCTGTTTGGGAGAATGTGGCACATCTGATAACTCATACATTGGTAGAGGGGTATGTCAAACTTTTACTTACAATCGTTTTATCGCATTTACTTACATACTTTCTTTATCGCAGATTTTCTAATACTAAAAAGTGTTCAAACGGAGGTAGAGCGCTGATGCAACTCGACTTTACACAATTAAAGTCGAAATTCGAAGCATTAACTTCTTTAAGGCCAATGCCTCACAGAGAATATGTTGAGTTATATATTAAAGCTTACTATCTTCCAGAAAATAGTTTAGAAGAGTGGATAAGGGAACACAAGGTATTTAAATATAATTGAATATATTTACTTTTTTCATACACATCTACTTGATTATGATATTCTTACTTATTACTGATGTATTTTTTCTATTCTACAGGAATATTCTGTAAAACATTTAATTGGTTTAGTTTCTTCGGCTTGTCAAAATAATAAGAAAACTCGGCAGCGTTTAATTGCATTCGTAGAAGAACAACGACCTGGTAGATAGCATAGGGCTATACACTATAATACATCTCAAGATTATATCGAAATAGGAATTGCATAAAAAACGAAAAAGAAAACAAAACGGATAGAGATGTTTAGAGATAATTTGGAAAAAAATGTATTTTCTTCGTGTACATACTCGGGGACTTTTACTATATCACTAAAGTAAGCAAGCCCACATTTTTTCATGACATTTTCATTTATTCAGTGCACGTATTAAATCCATTGATATGAACATTTTAAAAACACATGTTCACAAACATGTTTGTAAAATCGAAGCAGTATGTGATAAAGTACGAAATATTTTACTTACTTTTATTGACAGTGATGTACGTCAATAAAGTATAAGTAATATCGGTTCAAAGGAATCTCATATCGAAATTTATAATTTTAATTCGAATTCGTAGAGTATTATTATTACAATTAATAATTACAAACTTTTCACATTGTATTAATAATATATATATATATATAAAGTTCAAATCTATTACAGCATTAGCAAGGGTTCTGAATAAAAAATATCTACATTTTGAATCTCGAAGAAAGAATCTAACGTTACTGAGTCTGTTAATAAAAGAATTTCTGCTCGATACGAGCTTTATCTCACTATAAAACAAATAAGATGTAAATAATTTTATTTTATATTCGTTTTATTTTCATAGCTTTTTATGATATATATATATATTTTTTTCATTATATATATATATATAAAATGAAACATTTTTAAAACATATATATTATTCCACATAAAAATTGTAATATTCATTTCAAAATCATGTTTTAATATTTTGCACACAATATTATGGACGCAGTCCATTGTCAAAATATTAATTAATTTGTCATAATAATTTATAAATTGCATAATTATTTTTATTTTTGAAATTAAGTGCAGTTTTAACTATACTATTCAAAAACATATTTTACATTTTGAAAAAATGCTCTTGTAATTTAAAGGTGTCTTTATTACACTAATAATAATAATAATAATAATAATAATAATAATAATAATAATAATAATAATATACAATTACATTTTTTTTCTGGATTCATCAGTTTCCAATTTTGTAAAAATTATTGTTATTTATCTATATAGTATTCATTGTAGGATTACGTTTATCATATATTTATATCTTGTACTAAAAACCAAGAAATTCTATTGCACCTCTGATTTTTTATTCGTATTTTAACGTTCAGCTTCATTTCAAGGAATGTATTACTTTTCGTTCTCGCGATAAGTAATTTAAAAATTCACGTGAAATTGTTAATTACATAACGTAATTCCATTTCACGTGACCATTTCAAAAAAATTAAAAAATAACTAGTATATTTTTTTACCAAATGATACGACAATATGATTAAAAAAAGAAGAGAGAATGATCTGTTTTTTTTTTTTTTTATCTAACAACTTTGTAATTATGAGATTGATCTGATAATGTTGGTGCACTGAGAATTCTCTGGCTAATAGTATAATGGTTCAGCGTTTCCTAATTTTTTCTTCTTTTTTTTTTTAACTTCCTGGATCGTGTCTGTCAAGAAAAATTTGTTATTGGTAAAAAACAGTCGTGCTCTCTAATTTATCTATTCTCTTTTGTGTGCGGGATTGAATCACGTATGAATTACGGCCTTGTCATGTATGTATTTTTTTCAAACTTTTACAAAATCCATGAAAACACGATCCATGGAGTATAAACGTTAAGAAACGCTGACAACTGTACCGAAGTGAACCAATTTCTTCCTTAGTCCAAAGCGTTTTATATTGAGCCCTGCATTCTGAATGGCCCCTGTTAAAACAAATTGTTGGAAAATGTAGCTGATACGCATTACCAAAATTGTGAACTAAACAAACATGAAAATATGTAACATCAAATGCTTGCTTTTGACAATAAGTCTATTTGACAATGCTATTTGTTAATAACGTGTTTAAGGAAAAAAAAAAAACGTACGTCGTAATTAAGCCTATACGCTTCGTTTTTTTTTTTTGTTTTGTTTTTTCGTTCATTTTTAAGTCTAAAATTAGTATCTTCGCTATAAATGCTTTTGTTACCTAACACTGAACGAAGAATGAATAAATACGTTACTCCTAAGTGAAACTCGCTTTGTTATTAAAAAAAAATTATTAAAAATAATTGCTCCGAGTCGTTTATATTTATATTTATTCGCTTGTTAGGATTCAAGTTTCGTTTCAAGCTTTGGACAATTTTGCTAATGAAAGTTTGAACATCATCAATTCAACAGCGTGTAAGTGTGTAATTCGTTCAAATAAAGTTTATTGCCAAAATATACTTGCTTTTCTTTTCGTAAATATCTATATATTAAAAACTGCGTGTCTCCTTTAAAAAAACAACTACCTTCTAACGATGTTATCTCAGGTGTAACTGTTTGTTATGTTTCTTTCAATTATGTTATTTTCTCACATGTTTTCAATTACATTACTAAGAGAAACAAATATGACACAACATTATAAACCTTCCTTTCAAGACGTTAATTAGAAGTTAATTATTATAAACATGTACATAGAACACTTTTCGCTCGATACTAGCACATACACAATTGAAAGAGCCTACTGCCTTTTCTTTCTTTCTCTCTCTCTCTCTCTCTCTTTGAAGTTTGTGTACGGCTTTTTCGAATACGAGCTGTTTTATTTTGCACGTTAATTCTCACCAAAACACGGTACTTAACATTAACGGTACGGAAAAGAATCCGACGAACTTATTAATGTATCTGTATTAATCATTACTGCGGTAAAAATAATACAATTTGTTAAAATCCTAATACCTTAGTATAAATCGTGGAATGCAAGTAAAACTGTTGATATAGAAACAGAGCGATGGAATAACGTATTATCATGTCGTTATTCCACTTTTAATCGCAATGTAAATACGAAGGAAACAAAGGGGAGGGGGAGGGTTGAATGACGTTGAAATATTATTGTTTCCGTTCGATTAACGGCAAATATTGATAAGTATGTTTATCACTCTCATTCTACATCTTATTATCAAAAGGAAATGAAACGAGACGCACGTAAAACATTGTCCGACTCTTATTTTTTTTTTTTTTTTCTGTGATCTAATTCTAATTCTGCGTAATCCGATCGCTTAACTGGTAAAAAATATTGGCAGATTTAATGCTGTTACGTTATTAGTAACATTGTTCCTATTTTCTTTTTTTTCTTTTCTCCCTCTTTCTCTCTTCTCTTTTTTTGAGCTCTCCAGTGTCATCAAACCTAGTGACTTCCCATTTTGTGCGTACAGAACAATCCCATTTTGTATGTATAAATGTACATTTGTTATGTTAAATGCATTTCAGTTGAAATTGAAGCACAAAAAAGATATATGACATGACTGTAACTTGCATTTTCTTCTTGGTTTCTTTTTTTTTAGAAAGAAAGAAGTTGATTGATATGCGTGAAACTCGAATGGAAGACAATTAGTAAAAACAGAAAGTAGAATGACACCGCAAACGCTTTTTTTCTTTTTGTTCTTTTTTCAAAGAATAAGGTTAATAATAAAGATTTATCAATGAATTTATCGATGCTGTATAAAGTTATACTCAATGCTGTGCTGTATAAAGTCATTGATGCAAGTGCTTTGAATGTTTACTCACATATATCAGTGGGATTATATGTATGAATATTATGTGTGATACATATTACGTAATATGGATAACAATCAGTGAAGGATGAATTTTACATCTAATTATTTTGGACGACATTTTAAATTAAGTGTTACATAAATTATAATTTCAAATTGGAAAGATGCTCTTCCTGAATGTCACAAGTAGCTCTTATAACTCTTTGTATTCTTTTATAGTTAGTATCTCATAATGCGATACGTACACAAATATGTATATATATATATATAAATTATAGTAAAATGTTGAATGTAATAATCTAGTCAATATTGTTGTATTAACTATTTTCACGGACTTCAGTGAACAGTTAGTAACAAAGTCTATATCTTTTGGTACTTTGATAAATTTCTATTTATATATTATTATTACTGAAACGCACCATTTGATGTTAATGGCTGTGTTACGTTTGCTGCAATACATTGGAAATTATTTCCTCTTTCTCTCCCACTCTCTCACTCTTTCTCTCTCTCTCTCCCTCTCTTTCTTTCTTTTTTATGGATCATGGTAATGATCATTATCAGTTTTGTTACAGAGCCTCTACATGATAAATAAAAATGAAAATACAAAGCAAACGTACATTCTTGGTATGTTGTTAACTGATGAAAAATAAATATTTGTTCATAATTTATGATTACTGGTCAACCATGTAAGGCCTTCATAAAGCCCATCTCCAGTTGTGGCACATGATGGCTGAACATACCAATTCCTATCTCGTATCCTAGTTAAACCCAATTTTTCTTGTATTTCGTGTGGTTTCATTGCTGAAAAAAAAAATAAATAAGGAGTTATTTACACAAAACTACACAATCACTAAAGATTTATAATATAAACTGTAACGCACCATCTGGAAGATCCTGTTTATTTGCAAAAATTAAAATAATAGCATCTCGCATTTCTCTATCATTTATAATTCGATGAAGCTCCTGGCGCGCTTCGTCTATTCGATCTCTGTCGGCACAATCTACTACAAAAATAAGTCCTTGTGTACCAGTGTAATAATGACGCCAAAGCGGACGTATTTTATCTTGTCCACCAACATCCTATAATGAAACCATTGCCCTTAATAAGCATAAACACTTTCCACGTTACGTTTGTCAGATTTTAAGCCACCGTTACCTACCCAAACATTGAACTTAACATTTTTATAGGTAACTGTTTCTACATTGAATCCTACAGTTGGTATAGTTGTTACAGACTGTCCTAATTTAAGTTTATATAGTATTGCTGATATGTAATTAAGGAAATGTTACTAAAGCGAAGCTTAACAGACTCCTAAGAATATTTTACTTTTTGCAAAGTTCGTTATGTAAAAAAAAAAGAAAACAAACATATGTGTGTACGTGTACATAAGGATACTAGTTTTTCCAGCAGCATCCAATCCTAGCATAAGAATTCGCATCTCCTTGTTGCCAAAGATCTTTGACAACAACTTGCCCATCTTGCCAGCTGCTTTCTACGCACCTGGCACCTGAAGTTCAGAGTTCAGAGTTCAAAAATCACACGAGTAAATTATTAATTGATCTGCTTGAAAATATCTCAAAGATGTAGTAATCTTTTTTACTATTTTAGTAATATATATTTCTTTTTAATGAAATTTCCTACAATGTACTATGAACATGAATACAGCATACCATGATATACCGTGAATAAAAAAAAAAGCTTCACAAACATTTAACCTCTGTTTGAAATTGATTAGTTTAAAAGAACTACGACAGTTTCACCCAATAACGTGGGCTTGAACATCGTCAAAATGAGATGTGACTCAAGGACGACCTTCCTAACCTATCAAACACCGCGATGAGTAAAATAAAAGATAAACAGACGTTCGGGAAATAACAGCGGAACAGGCAGATTCATGGCACGTTCGCGATCGAGTCCGGACCTGCGGTCAAGTTTTCTCCATTTCCAGTTGGGAAACTGGCGTGTTGTGCGACATACGACTCGACAGTTGTCACGATTAAATGCTTCCTGATCGGTGTTGCGGCTTACATGACAATTGACGACGAATTTATAGTGGGGAAAGAAGAAAGGAAGGAAGAAAGGAAGGAA